CCCCCCCCAATTTTCTTGCTGAAAAAGAAGCGGCTGCATCTCCTTTTATCTTCATAAGAATCTATCTTTATTTATCTTTATAGAAAATACACACGTAGAACATAACTATTTAGTCTTATTATACAAAACACTAAAAACAAAACGTGCAGCAAAAGATATGTGTAACAGTTGTCACGCGATAGGTAACATCCAGGAGTAAGATTCTTTGATTATATTCTTTTTAGGGTCCACTAAAATCCGTCTAATATTAATCTACTTAAATTTCTAATTTATTAACGTTATAAGAGTAATTCTTTAAAAAATAAAAAATTAAAAGTAATTAAAATTTGTACTATTTGTAAATATAAAAAATATTTGCTTTCGAATAATCATTGAAATTTTCACTTTCAGAATTAGGTGTTATATTTAATTATCTTCTATTGAAGAAATGAAATAAACAAATAAATGTAAATAGATTTTTTTCGAAATTGGTTCTGTTAAAATTAATTTCTTTTAATATCATTTGAAATAGAATGATGAGACTTAAATATATCATTTCAAGCAGTAGAAACTCGACTTCGCAGGCCTGTCAGTTAAAAATGAACTACTTCGTGCGCGCAAGATTTACAATACGAAGATTTATTATCGACCCTGAAACTGATTCCTGCTGCAGTTTAGCACGAACGGTACCGGCAAACACGAATAGCTCCTCAGTCCTTCCTTATCGATACCTTATCTACTTAGAAGTATTTAGAAAATTGCCATTTACTTAAAAGGATAATACGCACAGCGTGTACTTCACCCTCACGTACAATTCACTCAAGATCCGCAAAGCATCGCTACCATTCACCGCCTGCCAATCAAGGTCAGTTTGCACATATATTATGTAACAAAGGGGTGCATCGAGTTATTAGCTCGCTAAGTGATCGATGACGACATTACTAGATGCACCCAAATCTATGACTCATCTTATTATATCGTTGAGCACACTTATATATAAATGACTGTTGCGATTCTTTCCAGATTCGAACTTCCGTGCAGGATGAGTCGAATTCAAAGATCCGGAACAACGAGATACCCCAGCCTCAACCGCCGCCCTCGACGCCGACCAAAACGCGTGGCGTTGTGTCACCCTCGTCCGTCGTGACACCCCAAGCCGTTAGAAGCGGACTGGCTAGATCTCCGGAAGCCACGACGCCCAGAGGGCAACTCATGCAGGAAACGGGGGGTCCAACCCTCGCAAACGGACGCGCATCCAAAACACCCTCGCCAGACGTGACGAATAGCAAAGGCACGCCGAAGGGCCATTCACCGGGAAGGTCACCAACTTCTCCGCGTCCACCTAGCAGCTTACGCGTTAGATCCGCCAGCGATAAGTCTTCCCCTGAGACACCTAGAAAAACGTCCCCCGGTACACCTAGTAGAGTATCCCCCCGCACACCGAGGAAAACTCCGTCCCCCAAGGAGCTGCGTCTTCCGAAGCTCACGTCTTCGCCGATATTGCAAGAAGCAAATCCAGTGATTGCCGAAACTCATCAGAAAATCACTTTACCGAAATTGATCGAGCATCCATCGTCGCAATCCGCCCGAATGGCATACTAGATCGAGCTATCGAATCAAAAATAAGGCTTTCTAGCACTTTAGAACAGAATGTAGACTCGCAGGTTCTCTCATTTGATTTCAAACTGAGCTTTTCTCAATAAATAAATTTGATTAATTAAAACTTAATTCATAATCTCATATAAATAAAAACTATTAAATTAATTTTTAAGCATTCGTGTGTAAACCACGAGATCTGGAGTATTCTGTTCATTTCATAAAAATAAGAGTGCAAGTTTAATTAATAACTTAGAAAAAATAATGATAGGAAAAAAGAACAAACTACACTTGCTAAAGCAGTTATCTTCTTTTAAATAACTATAATTCTAAGTAAAGATAAACTTTTTTATTTTAGAACTAATTTCAATCGAATTGGCTCGAAAATAAAATAATAATTCGAGGAGAAATGGAACGGGGACTTGTATCCGCAAGTCCTATTTTTCCAATTAATTCACGTTTCCAATTCTATAATTTCCGTATGTGGAAGATTAATGGATATGGGAAACGTATTCAAATATAAATAATTTAACGATGTTATTTTATGTTACAAATGATTATATTGTTTACTTTGTTATTCTTAAATCACAAAAAAAAAATGACCGAAATTCTATTATTTTTCAGTATATGTTTAGACATTACAAATCAGGTATTTTTTAAGACATTTTCAATGGCTTGATTATGAATTAATAATTTATCTTTTAAAACCACACACGCACAATTTGGGAAACTATATCTAAATAAAGAGCTATATGCAATATATAATTATTGAAAAATGTAATTTAACTCCATACGTCATTGTGCAATAAATGGAAAATGGATGAAAAGGATATGAAAGACAAATGATATCGACAAATCAAAAATTAATATATACGTGAGATTTATAGTAAAAATATATTTAAATTATATCGTATTTTTAGATCGATAGTATCGAACACACATTCGCAGTATAAAGTTATCTCCATCCAAAATTATTTCGCATTTAAGTTTCATGTAAAAACCTATAAAAATACAGTAAATTCAATTGGTCATATAAATCTACATTAGTATTTTTTTGGCAGTGGAGGTGGAACTAATTTAATCCCAGCGAAATAAGGATGAGTCAATCCTCTTTTTGCCGTTATCCTCTGATTAGGATCGTATGTCAGCATTTTCTAAAAACAAAAAAAAATATAAGTGTATACAAAAATGCGCACTTTTTCGCAAGGTAGATGCTGGTTTTTCCTTACTGAAATTAAGTCTTTGGCATCGTCATCAAAAGTCGGTAAAATGTCGTCTATGTTAGACGCCTCCCATCTTGGGAATCTAGATGTGTAGTCTGGAAGCTGTGACACCCCCGGCCAGATCGTTTCGTCTGGCGTACCGAGCATGCGAAATATTCTAAATAACTGATCTATTTCGGAGTCTCCGGGAAACAGAGCTCTCCTGGTTGCCTATAAAGATCGTATTATTGTGCAAACACCGCGGTTTCACTCCAATATTCAATAGACTCAGGTAACTCTCGCGCAATCTTCACATACCATTTCCGCAAATATACAACCGAGACTCCATATGTCTAACGCACAGGTGTACAATTTAGTTCCTAGTAGAACCTCTGGTGCGCGATACCAAAGTGTGACAACCTCGTGAGTATAAGTGCGAACGGGTACACCGATCATTCTGGCCAATCCGAAGTCGGCCAGTTTAATATGACCCTCTCGATCTATCAATAGGTTCTGCGGTTTTAAGTCTCTGTGCAATATACAACGGAGATGGCAGAAGGAAATTGCCTTCAGCAATTGGCAGAGGTAGCTCTGTAACACAAACCGCCGCGTTTTTAAAAGACCCACGCACGAATACAGGCATCACGTGCGCGATGAAATGCGGCTGAGATCCGCATTACCTTGACGAGAGCTGGTTCTAAGCCCCCTTTAACGGAGTCTAACAGCTTTTTCAAATCCTGCTGCAGAAATTCAAATACGAGGTACAGATGATTATCGCCGTCTACGACATCGAACAACTGTATGATGTTTGGATGAGCGAGGTCTTTTAATAAGGATATCTCCCTAATAGCGGTAGATGGAACGCCTTCTCTTTCCCTGATTTAAAGCATCACTATTTAATTAATCAGCAAAATTAAGTGACTGTATCTGACAAATATGCTAAAGAAACATTATTCATAAGAAAGTTTCCCTCCTTTTTTTAACAAAACTTTCCGCTTAAAAAGTTTACTTACAAATATATCTTACAAACATATACAACATAATATATATTAAAACATCAAATAGCATTCATGGAAAGAACGGTTTTGCTGAAGTATATAAAAATTTAGTTACAGATCCTCTTAATCTTCTTAATAATTATGTAGGACAATAAAAATAATTCCTAGAAAAATTCAAAATTTTTTGCAGCATTGTTTATGCTTTGAGTTTTCTAAATAATTACTTTGATAGTCCAATAAAATTATTTTTAGATCTGTGTCTATACTTGAATTTTAAGATAATTTAGCAAAATCGTTCTTTTCATGTTGGTGAGAGAAGACAAATATATTAGGTGTAGTAAAAAGTCATCGCGTATTTTTAAAAGACATCTATCAGTAAAAACCGCAATTACTTTCTTACCAACAATATAAATATATCTTGATAGAGTAAAGTTTCAGCTTTAAAAATCTCTTTTTTAAATTATACGATACGACAATTTTTAATGGAGTTATGAGCAATTAAAGTCAAAATAATTCTTTTATTTAATCCGCGATAACTCAGTAATCAAAAGTCGTAGGAATATTAAAAAAAAACGATTTTGTAGGGAAAGTATCAAGCTTTCACGATAGGTAATCGAAAATTTTCTCAAATTCGTTTTGGACACGTTACAAATCCACAAAGTGAGAAGAAAATTTTTCGTCTTTTTCAGCTCGTAGTTTTTGGTATGTAAAAATTATCAAACTCATATAAACTTAAAAAATGTGATAAGCTTTTAAAAGTAGAGATTTCAAGCTTTAAAATCCTTTTTTTAAATTTGAATTTCATTCATTATTGACGAAGATATTGTATATACAACTTTGAGCTAAAAAATACGTGATGACTTTTTACTACACCTAATAATAATATAATATAATATAAAAGAGCAATTCCATTAATTTCTGTATACCCAAAGACAAATGTTACCTTCAATGAAAATGTTATAATTACAGAAGATATATGTATATACAATATACATACACAAAGTTTTTTATCCCAAAAATAATCCTAACTGAACATATCTTAAATTAATAATTACAGTGTATTAAAAAAAATACCAAATTAAAAACCAGGCGAGCATGGCATAATGGGACAAGCTGAATAATGTGGTGCTACGAAAATTAGTGTAACGTGGCCCCCGCAGATTCAGCTGACCCCAATATGCAGATATTGTTAGCAGTGTGTTAGCAGTGTGCACAAGCAAAAGCCCAGCTGATATTGCAGTTCTGCAAATTGATCATTTTTAACATACATAGATAATAGCCGAATTAAAATTCCAAATTAATTTTGTAAAATCGTGATTAAATCGACAGTGCGCATCTTAATTAAACATTCGTATGAGATGCTATTAAATTTATAAGAATACACCGTTAAAAAATTAATATCACGCTAAATTATTCTTATAATTTCTACCTTCAAGTAAAATAGAATTAATAATATGACTCATTTGTCATATTATTAGTTTGTCACGAAAACATATATAGTAAACGCATACAAATTTTTAAAGGAAATTGGCAAACATAATTTCTTGTAAAAATAATTCAAATATTCTTGTGCTTACAAATTTCAACTATAGTGTTTTTATACAGATATTATATACATGTAGAGAATGTAATTTTTAATGAAAAGTATTATATCAAGCGTCGAAAAAGAGTAGATATTAATAATATATAGCTATGGAAATTACGTTCCAAGCTAGATTAATAAAAGCTTAATAATAATAAGTTATATAAATCTACATATAAATAATAAAAAATTCTTTAAAAAATATTTTTTTTCGATTAAGAAGCACAATTGGTTAAATTAAAAGAGTTAGTATAATATTAATATATTTATTGTGTGATTGTATAAATATATAAAAGAAAAAGGAAGGAGGAAGTACTTTTGCATTGTTCATGTTATCATAATATATGTATAATAATAAAAAAGGAGTAGCACAAAAAAGTTTTTTGAAAAATAATTAACCGAACAATTTCCTATTTATATTACTTACTTTCATACAGATTCTGCCAAATTTTTAACAAAATCAACTGTAATGTACAGATTTTGAAACAGTCTTCAAAAGACAAAATCCTGATACAAAATCTGACTGCAGAATTCTCTCGAAAACGTTCTCAACAGAATTTGGAATCCAGGTTCACCTTGTCCCGCGTTTACAGAAAGTAATATTCTGGAGATTATAATAATATTCACAAGAGAGAGAGAGAGAGACGGAGAGAGAGGGGGGGGGAGAGGAAGAGAGTAAGAGAGACAGAAGCGATTTGTTTATATTTCCCAATAAATTTACGAGGCCAAACATACGTCTCTAGACGAATTTTCTTGAGTGCCACCAGCTTCCCAGTCAGTTTGTCCCGAGCTTTGTAGACCACCCCGTACGTTCCTTCCCCTATCTTCTCGATTTTCACGAAGTTGTCCATAACCTCAACGTTGCCGCGCTCGTCGTCGCCACTGTGAGCCCGGGGACGCCGCTCCTCGGCCAGGGTCGCCGTCGCCGCGCCTTCCCTGACCTTTTCCACGGTCGACGCCGTCGTTGATCCGTTTCTGTCAAGTGTTGTCGATACTTCAGAACGTCGAGAATACGATTAGATCGTTGCGAGCCGTTTTATTGCCGCCTGTTTATCAACACCGGTGGAACTAAGTGCACTCGGCCGCAGTGTGCGCGCCAGTGGTGAATGGCCATTTTTATTTTTTAGAGAAGATAGAAAGAGGAATCGATAGTGACGAATCGATGAATTTGTTTTCGAGATCGATGGTCGTCAACCCGCGTTAAATAATCGACAACATAATAGTGATGAATAAACTCTCTTATTTCGCGCGTGCACATTGCGACATAAATATAAATAATCCTCATTGAGCGGCTATTAATTTTAAAAAAGATTACTCGCAAGAAATTAAGCCTGGGATCATATTTTTTTTACATTAACACTATTCTGAAAATTTACCTACATATTTAAGAATCGTTTACTCTTTTTTTTATATTTACTAAATTACAAGAGTAATTAAATTATATTATTTTAAATAATAAATATCGGATATTCAACAGTTATTTAATTATCTATCGATTAGTATATAATTCATTACTGTTATATGCGAGAAACCCCAAAATATACAAGGTTCTTTTTCTTTATCATGTTTAGTTCAATGGAAATACTTTAAATTTTCTCTCTTTTTTTTTAACTGTATAAAATTAAATTATACGTTTAATTTTAAAAAATACTTAGGATTAGAAAATAGACAGCACGCACATTATTTATAAAAAAATAAACTTGAATGTTAAACAATCTTATCAAATGTTATTTTAAGCTATTAAAATGTTTAATAACAAAATGTGTACTAAACTTGAATTAGTACTAGGCTGAAAATCCATCCATATCAGCACACATTCCAAAATTAAGATTTTATATTATAAATTTTGTTTTGTTAATACTTCACTTCGCGATGCCAAAGTAAAAAAAAATTTAAATAATTCTATTTATACATCTACTTTTCGGAAAAAGAGTTTTAACAATCTTTCAATAGTCCTAATTAATAGAATATAAATAATCATTACTAATAAAATTACGCTAGAAAAAGCCGATCTTTTATAGACTATGTACGCTACCGCGTCTCTTTTGATTTCGATTGTATCAAGAGATGCTTCTTTCAATATCAAATAAATACATATCCGAACTTTTATTTATTTATTTATATATCGCAATTGCGCTACACGAGAGCTCTAACAATTGAGACTTTGTTGTTTACAATTGTTTCTCTTATATTTCTTCAACGTTGTGCAATAGCATGCTTCTTTATTTCACAACTAAAATTCTTTAAATCTTCGTGCTTAACATATTCAAGATTATTCGTCGTCCGTTGAAATACACGAGTATCGGAATTAACATAGCATTCTTGAGATTCAATTCAAATCTCCGAATTAAACGATGTCACGATTCTTTGGGGAGGATATATACAAAGACTGCTCCTTGTAGTCGAGTTTTCTACACTTTCTACTTTTTGCCATTCAACGCGCAATTATACACGTTTTTTTTTTATTTTAACTTCAGAAAATGTGATTTGTAACGTGGTTACAAAGAATGGGCCTGTAGAATCAGGACATTCAGTGTGAGGAGATAAATCGAATATAATTCGAATATGATCTCTAACATATACAATACATAATTTCTCTCTCTCTCTCTCTCTCCATCACCTAAGATTGTCAAACATTCAAATCCTCCCACACGCATGATTTTGATTTCGAAAGATCCCACACGCACGCATTATTGATTATATTATGGATAATATAATCGGGCGCGGCTTACATCATTTTATCTCGCAGTTACGCAGAGATATTTGCACACGGAAAAAAAACAGTTTGCTGAAGTATCTAAAAATTTAAAAATAATTTTGTTAAACCATAAAAATAATTATATAAAAAACTCGAACATAATAAGCAATGTTGCAAAATATTTTGACAGTCTAATAATTAGCATGAGCCTCCCATATAATTATTTTGATAGTCTAATAAAATGATTTTCAGATTGATATTCAGCTAAATTTTTAGATACTTCAGCAAAGTCATTCTTTCATTATGTGACTCACTGCCATACGTAATTCTCGATGGATTTTAGTTTCTCATACGTATAGTAGTTTAAATTCTAATCTAATTACGAGTAGAATGATTATAATACGTATTTTTTTTTAGGTAAAAATATGTGTGTAGGAATTATGCTACTGTATACATATATTCTCGTACGAGCTTTCTATTCCGTGCACACGCCAAATACATACACGTTTTCTACCAAAGCCGGAGGAAAGAAGAGCATAAAAATTGGAATGTTTACGTGATTTTATTTCGCACGCCTACATCGGAAGATATATCTGCGAGTTGCTCTCTACTATTCGTGAGACGTGATTGGAAAAACTTTGTAAAGTTGCGCAAACTCTAAAACGTTATTAGATATTTCACCAAAGCGACGTATTTTCCAAATATAAAAAAAATCTTTGAACGCACGACGTCAAACTATGATATTTTATTGTTCAATAACGAATTCCATAAATTTCGTTCGGTTCTACATAGATCAATTGTATATTCTTAGAATTTCAACGCGACAACGCATGGAATGACTTCGATTCGTTATTGAAGCGAAGACGCAATGTAATTGGTATGAGCAACTATCTGGGCAGGGAGATTCACGAAAACGTAATAACGGCGAAATTCGTCCCATCTACGTTTCGCGCAATGGGACTAGATAGAAAATATGCTATAATATCTCTCTATCTCTAAAGTAGGGCACGATGTACAATATTTAAATTCACAACACGTGTTTCTCGTAAAGTTTTTACTTATATATATATATATTACGCAGATTATCCGGAAAAAACCTGGAAGAATATTATCTCACAAAACATCAGTCAATAAATAGCATTTTCACGAAAAAAAATTTCCATTATAAATCCGCGCGGTCATAAATTCAGTAATTTTCGACAAATTTACTTAATTATTCCCTCTTTTTCTTCTCATAATCGCAAAAGCTTAAAAAAGCTTGCGAAGAGCCATTAAAAACTCTGCATTATGTAAGAAAGCGAGACTATTATAAAGTTCCTCAATAACTTCCCACCAGGCTGTTTAGGACATCTTATGTTCAGCTTATTATGCGTAAAGTTTTCTTTGAGTGCACAATCAGCATAGAATTTAATTTCAAGCAAAGCACTCGTGTTGGATATTTTTGATGGATGAAACTTGAAAGATTTTTCGATAGATTTTATATTATCGCTGATGGCATTACCATAGGATAAATAATTCAATGGTTGTACATTTTAAATATAATTTTTGTTTTATATAATAGGTATACGATATTATAAGCAAATATATGAAAGCTGTCGAAAGTAAATCAAGTTTCATCCAAATTAGATATGATTTGTTAATGTAAAGGTACATTACAATTTCTTCGGGTTATTTTGATTACAATTTCTTAATATAACAGAAGATATATCATAACGTTGTACAATATTTTAAAATATAAAAAAACAATCTCTTCGCAGACATAAAATATATAAAGTTATCTAAAATTACTCAAAGATGATATGACAAAATTTTTACTCGGGAAGATATAAATTTCTGGATACTATTAAATATAATTACACACACACACACACACACACATATGTGTATATATATATATATATATGATTTGCATACATAGATATAGGAGAAAAATATGATTGATAAGATCGTGAATGTTATCTATGCTTTTATCATGACAAATTACATTCTCTTATGAAAAAATATTAAAAAAATTAGCATGTATGTTTCATACTTTATATCATTTTTTATGCCATTCCATATTTTTTAGAATGTTATTCGAATTGTGGAACTAAATATTATAACAATGTACTAGATTTTCATCGCCAACTTTCATTATCATCGTATTGTTGAAGAAAATAATGCAATGAAATTTAATAGAAATTTATACTTACGTGAACTTTTCTGTCACTAGACTACAAGGCGCATTGAGGCTTGTTATGAGTGTTCTAAGTATATGACTAGAGCACACATTTCAGTTATTTATCTAACTCATTCTAAAACCTAAGATTGCCCAGTTAAAAATATATTAACTTTGTCTCTATTGAGCATTACATTACATATAATTAAAAGAATTGAAACATTAAAAGAAAAATATTGCATCGTAGCCCTTGGAAAATATGCTGTGTAACATCCGGGCAATCAAAAAATAAAAATAATTTCAGATGTTTGTCCTCTTCATGTCAATAAAAGTATCGTACGTATAATACCAGTAAAAAGAAAAATTATTAATATCTTCTGAGTATTCATCGAATTAATATAAATAATTATGCTGTGGAAAAATGGCTCTTGCTGCTTTTTCCTGTGGATCTAATTGATTACGGTAACGTCTTGCCAAGAAAGCTGCAATCACCTGAAAATGTTTTGAATTCATAAAGTCCGGAGAAAATCGAAGAACCATGAGGAAAAATTCAAAAGTTATAGATATTGCTATCGTGTAAATTGTTGCATGCTATATGCTGCACATAATTTACATGTTTTTATGAATGACATTAGCGAATGAATATCTGAATCAATAATGCTGAAAAAAAAAAGATCAAAAGACCACAACCAATATATGAAGCCACCCACCATCTGTTAGGAGGATCATATGAAGTGACAGAGGACATGGCGATGGTGTTAGACTAGAGGAAAGCACTAGGATTAGCTCGTGGATCTTTCTGGTTCCTGTATCTCACGGTCAACCATACACCAACAAACTGTAATCGGGCGCACATGTTAGCATTAACAAAATGAATGTACCTTTATTGTAAACGGTGACCGCAATATGAATATAGTGCACTTTTAATTAGACAAAATTCTTAAATACTAAATAAATCGTATTCTGTGCAACATTTAATTTCGTACAATTGTGCAATATGTACATGATTAATGCCGTGATGTTATTTGCGGAATCTTACCTCCGTAAAGCTAAAGAATAATCCTATACTGCCACATAATTTGAATGCATAGTCAATGGTAGATTGCAATTTATGCATACACGGTGGACATGGTGTACAAGGATCCATGGATTGACAACAAATTTTCTGTAAAAGATTCTAATTATTTAATATCATTATATTATCATGCGGATGTCTCACTTTTATTGCAACTTACATTGACTTCATCGCACGATCCACCTGACTCATCAGTAGTGCTATTAAATCC